AATGATTGGTGTTTAGGGGAAAGTTCGCTCAAGTGAGACGTTGTGTCCATAAGGAGACCAATAAGACATATGCGGCGAAGACAATCAAGAAGAGACGGCGAGCCAATGACGTGAGCCATGAGATACTTCATGAGATCCGAGTACTTCTGACGGCCAGCCAAAGCGAGCGAATCGTCAAACTCCATGAAGTCTATGAGACGGCCACTGAATTCGTGTTGATGTTGGAAATGTAAGCTATAAATGCGTTAAATTGAGTATAAAATGAATTTATGTCTTATTAAATGCACTCAAATATTCTGTAAACGACACCAAATCTCTTAAAAGTAGAATACTTTTTAAAAGTTATATTTAATATACAGTACAAACACTAAACTTGTTTTAATTTTCTAAAACCTAAGTGTGTTTTTCATTTATTATGCATTAAAACCTGATTTTTTCATTCGTTTTTAGGTTTTTAAAAATACATTCATTTGTTCTTAATTTTAGTTAATAATAAAATTTAAAACAAAATCTCATTTCATATGAATTTTACTTTTAAATAACTTTAAAGTTTTTAAACAAAAGAATTATTAATGAATATAATTGTAAACTTTAAAGGATTGAATACGCGATTGTACTGTATATTGAATTACTTTTATAACACTTTAAAAAACAATCAGTTGTATTCATTATCAAACATTTTTTGCATTTTTGAAATGCTTTCAATGATTCCTATTTTAAATCCTAACCCCAACTTTGAGTTATTTTCAAACATTTCCTTAATTCTAGCGATTATTTTTAAGCCAAGAATTTCCATATTTTATATAATATACACTGAATGTATTATTTAATAAATATTTAATTCACTAAATTAAACACTTTTTAAAACTTAAGTTTTCCTTAAATAATACAAATATTAGTCTTTTTGGAAACAATGAGCAATAATTTTGTTTGACTTTCTCTTTACAATTGTTTCGAAATCTTGTTTTCTTATGAATCATAACTCCTATGGTTTGACTGAAAATATTTATAAATACTTTGTATACTCTATAGTGAGAAGTGGTTAACGAAGGTCTTGAACTGATTGTATGTGTTGTATGTGTTGTTTAATAGGGCAGAGGGCGGCGAATTGCAACGGGTTCTCGACGAGGATGACTCACTGCCCGAACACCACTGCAGGTGTATTGTGCGCCAGATTGTCGAAGGGGTCCAGTTCTTGCACCGCTCCAACATCGCCCACCTCGACATCAAGGCTAGTATACCATCAATACCACTCCAGAGCCAAATCTTTTCAATCGATCCAATCATTTGCATACTATAGCCGCAGAACATTCTGCTCACGAATCCCTACCCGTCCGGAGACGTCAAACTCTGTGATTTCGGAATTTCCAGAATTCTCACCAAAGGCGCCGAACTCCGGGAAATCGTAGGCACTCCTGATTATGTCGGTCAGTATACTCTCCCTTTCATTCAATTACAGTATAGCCAACAAACAGACAATCACTTTATAATGACATTCCACTTGATGTGTTATATTTGTATGTTAGCGCCCGAAATACTACAATACGAGCCAATCAGTCTGGCCACCGATATGTGGAGCCTCGGTGTACTGACATATGTGCTGCTGTCGGGCCACTCGCCCTTCACGGGAGAGACCAAACAGGAGACGTTTTGTAATATAACTAACGGTTCACTAGACTTCCCGTCCTATCTATTCGGTGACGTCTCCGAAGAGGCCAAGGATTTCATTTGTAAACTACTTGTGAGAGATCCCAAGTATGCACTCTATATTATACACTATATTATACACTATATTATATTCACAATATTTGTGCCAATTATTAAAACCTTATTCTTGACGCAGGGGTCGATTCAGTTGTCAGGACTGTTTGAAACACGAGTGGTTGGCCACAGAAAGCAATGGTCCACTTAATGTATATAATAAATATGATAATTGTTTACTTGACTTCACTTATTATATCAATAGGAGGCAAATGAAGGCTTAGATTTCATTACTGTTCCATATATTCCTATAATTTATAGTATAATATAGTTTTGTAATACAAGCTATGATTTATTGCAACACATATTCGAGTTGAGGGTATTTTGTCAACATTTACGCCATATATTTCGTATATATACACACTTTTCTGTATATATACACACTTTTCTGTATACATACATACATATACCCAAAACATTATATAATATATTACATTTAACTTATTATAAATATTAATATTTTAATCGTTTGTAAATAGTTTTAATTAATTATCTCTTAAAAATGAACAAAAAGTTTTGTAATATATTTGAATGTAAATTGTTTTCAAAACTTTTCGAAATTAGTTTGTAAGATAAGTTTTTATTTCTTAAAATCATTTATTTTTACGATTAGTCTATAAAACAATATTATTCTTCCGGGTTTATATGAAACGATAAAATCACTTATACTCGCATAGAGTATATGCTGTACTCTCGCTATTGGAGGCCCTAAGAGCGCGCCTGTAGTCGATACGATGGAAGTGATTGTGCACTAAATGACAATTAATTGGAGTGCAAACAAATGGTGAGATGTGTGAAAAGCTGTCATAATTGCCATGCCATGTATGGTATGTATGGTATAGAGCCGCACACAACAGCATCCGTGCACTTTAGCGAGAGTAGGCTGTGCTTCGATCGCTATTCACGGATTATTATAGAAACTTTGCGTCACATAATCCCTGCCCACTCACTGTTGCTATTAATATATTGAACAACATTTGAGTCAAAACTGTGACCACTTTTAGGTTGCCGTCGACTCGACTCCACATCCCATTGCTATGCATTCCTTGCATTCAAACATTTCGTACAGTAATCACAGTTTGTTTGTTATGCAAAGGCATTCAAATGTCTTTTATTTGATATTAAAATACAAATAAATTAAATGATATTTATAAATACATGTAATAATTATAATTTCTAAGAAATTGTGTGAAAAATGTCAAATAAATTGTGTTCTAAATCGACAACAAATTGTGTACAAAAACATAAGACAAGTCATCATATGATTAGGAATTCTTTTACAGATTATCAATGAATGAGGGGATCGGGTGTAGAGAGAGGGAGACCTTATGTGTCCCATATCTATGATAATCGGCGATATATACGATACGATATTATATTACAGTACAGTATATTATTATTAATATTATAAATACTGAATTCAAATTTCAGTTGTCGATTAAATAATTAAAATTAATATTAAAAACGATAAATCACTGGTATTTACAAAATAAATAAGTTATACTTTCATATACTAATGTGATATCATTATACGGTAGCATTACTTCAGTCAAATGAATGCAAACCTATTGAATGACTAACGAAATGAATCTCTACTTGCGTTAAGTTATAGTAATTATAATATTCTAATAATAGAAATAGAGATTAATTGAGATATTGTTTTCCACATATATTACTATATGACAAATGAATGTAGAAATATGTATAAAAGCGTACAAATATTATCTTTTATCCGAACCGTTGGCTTTGCGAATACAACTGGAGTTCTGTGCCTGAGATGGGAAGCCATAATAGGATTGGGGTGTTGGGGAGGACTGGCCGGTGGGGTTGGATGTAGTGGTGACACAATTCTGAGAATAATTCTGAGACATTGTTGAGAACAAATGGTTTGTAAATCCAATCGATTCGGTGTTTGCATGAAATGAGGCCAACGGGTGGGTGCGAGCGGTTGAGGGGCTGGTACTCTGTGCCGGACTCGACACTCGGAAGCCTTTGCTGTGAATATCTGAGGGCGAGTTAGTCTGCGCGCGAGGAGAAGACGCCGCAGAGAGGGCTGAGTGAGCGCTCACTGGCGAAGACGACTGACCACTGACTGCCATATTATTGGAGTTGAATGAAGTGAGAGCGCCGTTAATGGGGAACACATTGTTTGCCGGAGCCGTGAGTCGGGCGTTGACGGACATCAAGTGATCCCTTCTTGAGATCAATTCCCTGACCCTCTCCTCCAAGCGATTGTTCTCTGACCTCAACTGATGCAAACACGACAGAAGCGATGCGATGTCGAAGTGTTGGGCCTGATCTATGATGAACTGCGATCCCTGTGCCCACTGGCGCTCCAACAGCTGCTCCAATGTCTGCGGCATATCATAACTGATAAAAAACAATTCAAATCAATTCAAATCAATTCAAGTGAAACACAGGAGGAATGTATGAAAACCAACTCATTTTGTTCAGTATTTTTCATTGCTTTCGAAGCACTGGTTCTCTCTTTGGATAACATATTAGATGAGAAGCCATTGAAAGAGGTTTGAGGGGTTGTATTGAACAGTGAATTGTTTGTACATTTGTCACCAGAATTGGAGTAACCGTTTTGCAAAGGAGTCATATTTGGGTGATTAACTGGTATTGAGCTGACGATTAGAATAAGTGTTATAAATTGCAATTATTTGTTTGCAAACAAATGTAATGTAATTTTTAGTCGTTTTACATAACATTTCTCTCAATTAACAATTTCATGCATTAAAATGAAATAATAGCCATAAAAACAGTGTATTTTGTGGTCAACAAATGAAATTCAATTAAAACAAATGAAATTCAATTAAAACAAATGAAATTCAATTAATCAGAGAAGAGTTATGGAGCGGAGAGTACAGGACTCACCGGTGATAGTTATGGTCAGTAGCAGGTCTGACCCAAACTGGTTTAACGGCATTCCTATTGTCAATCAATTTAAATCAAACAAAAGAACTAAAAGTCAAATAAAGTGCAAAATATATGCAGAAAGACGTGTGAAAAGACATTAAACCAAAAGTGAGAGTCAATGACAAGTGAAAGAAAGGCATTCATGTGATTATAATAATGACAACTACTGTACTCACAGAACACCGTTCGCCAGATCACTGGCATTGATGTCAATCTTCTTTCGGCGAACTTTCTTCGCAATCAACGGTTTAGAATCGCTGTAATCCTTGGCCGCACTCTTGGTCTTTATTGGTCTGAAATATGGCACAAGTTATACAATGTCGACAATTTATGCATCCAATCAACACATACTCAGCCAAAACATTGCATTTCTTCAACTTCTTCTTCTCAACACTTGCATCAGATTTGGTTCGTTTCATTGCATTCGAGTTGACATTCATATCAGTTGTTTTGGTATTTGTCACCACTTTCTCTGCGTTTGTCGTACTGTTCGCCGAATTCAAAGATGAAGAGAATATGGACGCAAACAGCGATGGGTTTTGTGGTTTAATCTCATAATTGGCTGAATTATTGGAAGCCATTAATGGACTGACAGGAGGAGCAGTTGGAGGAGACGATGAAGAAATGGATTTTTTCTTCTTCTTGACAGTGATGTCAACCGTGGAGTCGGCATTCGGTGGCGAATGACTTATTTTACTCGAACTTATCACGTCTTCACTCGTGATGTCACTCTTGATCTTTGCGTCCAATTTATACGATTGTATTAATCCGTGGTTTGAGTTCGAGTGCATAGAAGAGGGCGAAGCCATCGAAGCATTTGACGAAATACTTCCCGTTTTGACGGTCTTTTTCTTCGGAAGTTTTATTTCATTAATCGTTAGGTTTTGAGACGTCTGTAGAGGTCTTTGTGGAGAGAGCTTCTCGGGGCTCGACTCAGGAGTGGTGTTATCGTTGGGAATGGGCTTAAAGGCGGGGATCGGCTTAATATTGCCCTCCTTTTTCTGACACAACATATTTACAGTCATTTCAATGGCATTACATCAAAGGGAATCAATAACTCACGAGTTTCTGGTAGTGATGACTACAATAACCACAGTATTTAACCTGATTTTAAGAATCAAAGTCATTAGAAGATAATAGACAAGCAAATCAAGAGCGCATACATTATCCATGTTATTGCCCGCCTCTTCACACAACAGTCCGGCCGCCTGTGCGCTGAGACACAAACACATCAAACATTAATTGAGTCAATGAATGGTCACTTGAAGTGGTCAGTGATGGCATACCAGGTCACGTGGAAGTAGTATTTACATCCAGGTTTGTTGCACTGCATACAGGCGCCCGTCTTGGCCCTCAAGTCCTTTCCGTGTTCTTCACAGAGAGAACAGGTTCTGCTGTATCTCTCGGGCGGAACCAATTGAAGGATAATTGGTTCCATTGTATTGTTGTTTCCAAACCTCACTTCAGGTATATATAGAGCGCACACCACATGAGCCCAATGGCCGGAATCAGTCCTTTTTAGTGCCCCGTCTTTGGACGGACACAACTCACACTTCTGTTGCCCCATCAGTACAACAATGGATTAGTCATCCACTCAATGGTTACTTATATGTCTTAAATGACTCACCACTCGGGCCGGTCTTTCCTGTGACTCGCATTTGCGACAATACCACGGACCAGTTGGCACAGACACTATGCCATAACACGCTATCATCGGGATATACACACAGTCAGTGACAGTGCCGTATAGAGACCGTACATACCCTGATGGACAGCCACATTACATCCCTGTCCATCGCAGTAGACCAGAGGGTTCTCATAGAAACCGCGTTCATCAGAGCAGACACAACACCCGCCGACCATCTCTTTCATTGTAGTCTCTCTTTGAGTGGTAATAATGAGATAACGAGTGAGTCATTGGTCATCCCAAACACGTGCTGAAGTGGTGAAGTGGAGCACATGGTGTGGCCAGTGATCAGCGAGTGTCAGCCATCAGTCACTGCATTGGCGCTCACAGACCTCAACAGACTGTGCAGTCAGTGCTGTCACTGTGTCTGCCAAACGCCATATTTGCCAAACAAATCCCACCACAAGTCATGCCATTCACATACAGATGGCACCACACGGTCTCCATTCAGACATTCATATCATTCATGCAATCTGTCAGTCATTTGACACCAGAATGTCATGTGATGTGAAGATACACTATATTGGACACCAAGACATCATTCAATAGATCCATGCATTCAATTAGCAGTATATCTTATTTTATTGGTTTATTTGATTAACTGTTCCGGACTAATGTAAAGGCAATTATCTAACGCTGTATAATATTATTCTGTAATATAGCCAATTATGCCATATTAGAGTAGTCTAGTTTATTGTGAATACAATCACTGTTACAAAACTTGATATTATTTAGAAATCATATACTCGTTTAAAATAAGCTAATGTTAATTTGATTTAAGTTTAACTTTAGTATAATAATTAAAATTTTTACATAATATATAAATAAATTTCAAAAATTCAAATGTTCTATAGCTTTATCTTATAATACTGTATTAGTACAGTAAATAAATAAATAACTAGTTTATTAATCAAAACTTGTCGATTAAAATACAGTTAAATGATAATAAAGAAATTATAATACAGATAGTAAAACATTATTAATTATTCTTTAATTTACTAAATATTCTTCAAACAAACTATCAAAAATGTATGCAAATATTGTGGACTTAAAACTACTATTATATCTACTGTATTACATAGATGTGAATCATAGACACGATTTCACATTTCCAATTGAATAAGAAATACAGTACTCATATACAGTATATACAGTATATACAGTATATACAGTATATACAGTATCACAAAAGAACATGCTCATTATCATAAAATGTTTTTAATTATCATGTATTCACTATGTTTTATATTCTTTTATCATTTGAGTTTAATTTTGTTTGAATATAATTTATCTTTGGGTTATCTATGAGTGTAATAATGTAGTGAAGGGTCGACCACTACTACAGTTAAGCGCATATGTGTTGTTCGCATAGTTTTTATAGATTGATTGGTTTCGTGAAAACCTATACAACTGTGCGCTCAATAAAGCCTCAGTTAATTCAAACCAAATATAATATTTTAGACCGCATTTTATAACAAATATAAACTGAAATCACACATCAATTTATTTTTGCAATGAATTTTTCAAAATCAGTCGACAAGTAATATATTATAAAATGTATAGAAATAATTGCATTGTTTGAGTTGAAAGCGCCTAAACTTATTGCTCACATAATTACATCTCCAATCACTGGACCTATCGGTCCGTGAATTAGTTATAAACTCATATAATAACTGCGTTTATGTATTGGAAAGCATCGGAAACTATAGGAAACTGAAGCTTTCATTTGCAACTCATTACACAACTGATAACATGAGAGCCAATCTGTCCGTTCCGTTCAGACAAACAAATATTATTTGAAACCCTTAGAGGGCTAACGGTTTATGAATGCTAATAACAGTGCTTTAACCGCACAGGTATCACACGAGGAAATGTATTTAAAAATAACGCGTTTCGAGTCCAATCTGCGTCCGGTCTCCCTATCCCTCCCTATCCCTCCCTCTCACTCGCTGTTGTGTTTTAGACACAAAATGAAATTTTATTCATTCATTCATTAAACGAAATATTTTTCATATTTTATTGAATGCAAGATAAGCTTACTTACAATTATTTATATTTATTACACTTTTGAAATAAAATTTTATACAATTTTTGATTGAAATTTGACTACAAATACTTTTGGGTAAACTATTTTCAAGACTAGAATCAAATTGAATTTTTAAATATTGTGGTCACTTATATTAAGCTCGGGTACAGTTTTATCCAAATAGTAATTAATTGGAAACGTCTGTAATAGTGGAACAGCACTCGGCCAACAAGTCGTGGCCATTGATGGGTGAATCCGTGCACTTATTTTTGTGTCTTCGCGGGTCTTCTGGTGTCCAGACCTTTGCGATCATTATATTTCCGTTTTTGTAACTCTTTTTCTCATCGCTAGTCCACGAAAGCGAATGACTTCCTATTCATTATATTAATAACAATTGTTTGAATGAATGAATGAATTGACAAACTAGTCGTCAATACAAACCTAAATGGCATTGAATGATGACTTTCTTTGGCTGTTGTGCTAACTGTGACTGAAGTGGATCTGTTGGCTGTCCGTCATTGTCGACCAATTCAGCTAAAAAGCTGATGTATCCGATGGCTAGCCTTAAAGTATCCACTTTTGAAAGCCTTTTCTCATAGGGAAGCGTTGGAATGTGTTCTCTCAGGCCCTGAG